AAAGAGCAGATCTTCTAAAGAGGAGAGCATGAACAGAACATGCAAGCTGACCTGTAGAACTCGTGTGTTTTGCTGGGTCATTCTGGTGGTTCTTGACATCTTAGAAAAGATAGAAAAATCAGATAGAAAAGTCAGCATGAAAATAGTAATTTGAAGAGCATGAGCCAATCTCATGAAGGAAATCCCAATTTAAAAGTACAGTTTGCTCAAACAAAACCTTGTTGCACTCTCCCAGGAGAGGAAGCGGACAGAAACCCGACATTATGTCCGAATAACCCAGGTTGATGGTCAGTGAATCTTGAGACCGGCTGCAGTTGGGAGGTTTCATGACAGGCCCGCTCTTGGTTTTCAGGTTAAGGTTGTAAAACTGTGCTGATATCAGGGAGCTGACATTGAGATTCCTGCCGGCTGCTGAGAAAGCACGTGCTCCGTGGCTTCTCAGAGGGGGGCTGAGGGGTGTATTTATCATCACAGCTACTTATAGGATGAACTCGAGTCTAGTGGCCCAGCTAGAAGTTTTAGACATTGGCAGATGTGGGGTCTGAGGTACTTAGACAGTTATGCCGCCCGCTTCTTACCCAGGGGGAGAGGAGCCTTGAAAATCCAGAACATTTGGTTCTGACATATGTAAAGGATAGTGTGCTTTGGCTAACTGCATTTTATCTATTTGAATATGTTCTATTTAGGATATGTTAATGTACCGGTTTTTATGAAGCAATCTTTTTTTTAATAGATTTATTGTTTATTTATTTATTTGTTTGTTGTTTTTTTGGCTGCATTGGGTCTTCATTGCTGCATGCAGGCTTTCTCTAGTTGTGGCTAGCAGGGGCTACTCTTCGTTGTGGTGCACGGGCTTCTCATTGCGATGGCTTCTCTTGTTGCAGAGCATAGGCTCTAGGCGCACAGGCTTCAGTAGTTGTGGCACGTGGGCTTCAGTAGTTGTGGCTCACAGGCTGTAGAGCGCAGGCTCAGTTTTTGTGGCGCACGGGCTTGGTTGTCCCGTGGCCTATATGAAGCGATCTTATTCTTTATCTTTTTCTTCAGATTATGATTTACCTTATTGACAAGGTACTTCCTGAAAGCTATTTTGTCAACAATCTCCGGGCACTGTCTGTGGATATGGCCGTCTTCCGAGACCTCTTGAGACTGAAGCTCCCTGAATTATCTCAGCACCTGGAAACTCTCCAGAAAACTGCAAACAAGGAAAGTGGAGGTAGTGATGATTCAGTGCTATTTTACCTTTGAAAATAGTTTACTTCTCTGGTTCCACTGTACATAAGAGCCTAAACCTTGAATGGAAATATGTGTTTTCAGATATTTCTATTGGTGAGAGTTTAGTGCAATGAAATAGATTTCTAGAGAACAAAAACAAAACTAAAGACAAAACCAAGAACAAAAAACAGAGGGCCAAACGTTGAACCTCTAACTGGTTATGGTTAGGAACTCAGACAAGAACCTAACACTTCACCAGTGCCAGATCACCAAGTATATATTGTACTCTAGGTAAAGAAGGGTATCCGTGTCTTGCCATCTAGTTAAATGCTTTAAGTTGGCACCAAAGCTATAGGAGTTCTTTAAAACTAAGCTACAGGTACAACTTAGCACAGACTGTGGTTTTGCCTCAACCATTGATGTTATGGAGAGTGGAATATGTATTTTCATAGAGGTGTAGGAGGTAAAAGCAGTCCTTTGGACCGAGTTCCTTTTATTCATTCATGAGAAGGGTATTTAGATTTACTTGCGATGAATGGGCCTGTTCTTGCTGGCGAAGGGCTCTTCTGGACCTCTGTTTAGAACCTGAGCCCTGCAGGGATGGACTGGGCTGAGTGGGTCGGTGATGGAGACAGCTCTGCAAGCAGCTCTAAGTCTCCTCCGTGTAGCCGGCTTCATCCAGCTTCCCAAGTACCTGAGCTCATAGCTGTCACTATACCCACTGCTTGCACTTCCCCGGCTGTGCTCAGGATACCAGAAATAGAATAGTCAGAAGTTTGCTCTGTTTCCTTTAAACGATTGCCAGTTCCATGCATTTAAATCTGGGAAAATACGAAAGGAGTTTGAGGACCCTATCTATGATTAAAATACACTGGAAATTTTAGTGACACCTGAGCGTCTCTAAGCATTTTCTTCTAAGTCATTCGAGCAATGTTACTTAATTTGGCTGTGCAGTATACTTGTGAACCGATGGGGATTTCACACAGCTTCCAGAGAGACCAAACTTTTCTGTCCCGGAGTCAGACACACTTTTACTGGGCTCCACGTTTCCCCCAAATGCCCTGTACTTGCTTAAGTGGTGACCTCAGATTCTAGTCTCTGAACAAAGATATTCCTTTGTTCATAGGTAAGAAGCAAGAAAATGAGTGCAGGAGAACAGATCTTGTTTTGCTTGTACTTGGGTAAATGCACCTTCTGACTGTAATTTGGAGGGAGGATTAGTCCAAATATCTAAATTTTTATATTTCATTAAAGTACACGCTTACGTGATCACGGGAAATGGGAGGGGACTCTTTTTTTAGTGAATCCAGAAACTTCAAAGTTAGCTGGATCCCAGGTCTTTAAAACTGGGTATAGTTTAGTTAAAAATACTGTAAAATTTCACTTTGCTTGATCTCCGAGTATTTTGGGATTTTCCAGCTTTATTTCTGTTATTGATTTATGGTTTAATTCCATTGTGGTCTGAGAACTATGTATAAATTAAGAAGTAGACAAGTAACTGCTAATGAGCAATTTTATTTTTATCGGCAGCATTTGAATAAAGGTAGGCTTTAGGAGGTTTTGAAAATCAGCTTTTACTTTTGAGAGGTTAAAATCCTTTCTTTTTATCCTGTTTTCGGTAAGGAAAACATCCTCCTTAATTTTCAGCACCCCACGATAGGTAGAGCCAAATTAAATTTTAGGTTAAGATTTCTGAAATATCACAAAGAATCTGTGAAGTTCATATTGTTGAGATTTTTATTAAACACACCTGTGTTCTTCCAAAAAAAAAAAAAAAAAGAAAAAGGAAGGACAAAAGGAGGAAGGAACCAGAATTTAGAGATATAAAGAAAGCAGTCAGGAAATAACATATTTGGGTGGACATGGGAGACTGAAAGAGGGTATTTTTGTATCTTACAAGTTGTCGATTCTGGAGAGATGTAGAGTGTTTGTTTTATTTCAGGTGGATATGAGCCCCCACTTACGAATGTCTTCACGATGCAGTGGTTTCTGACTCTCTTCGCTACGTGCCTCCCTAACCATACGGTTTTAAAGATTTGGGATTCAGTCTTCTTTGAAGGTTCGGAAATCATCCTAAGGGTGTCGCTGGCTATCTGGGCAAAACTGGGAGAGTAAGTGATTTCCCACTGCTGTTCTTTTCTGTGGTGTTGAGGGCCTTACACCCTTTTTTAAAGATTAATTAATTAATTAATTATTTATTTTTCCTTGCACCATTTTTGTGCTCTAACAAGTAAAGGATTGATATTTAGGTTTGAGTAGGAGAGAAAGTTGTGAACTCGGTGCAATTGCTTCTGCCTTCTGAACTCTCAGGTGGCTCTTCTGTGAATGTTGGGGGCAGAGAGAATCCATTTTACCGAAGGAGGCAAGCTGTTTCAGGCCTGTAGGTCTCCTCGTCCTCAGTGCTTGTGTCCTGCCTGGTCCGAGCTGTCGGCATCTTTCCTGACACTGGTTGCGGGGAGGGAAAGGGATGTAGCGGGGAGAGGGACAGGCAGATCCGGAGAAGACTGGGTGGGTTTGTTGGTTAAGGCTGCAATTTGGCTTATGTTTGAATCTTTATAATTTATTTTGTGAGCTGTGATAAAATTAAATGAGATAATATGTATAAGGGTATCTAGCATGGTGCTTGGTACCTAGTCAACAGTAGAACTTATTTCATGAAGAGTTAATTCTAGGGGCTTCCCTGGTGGCGCAGTGGTTGAGAGTCCGCCTGCCGATGTAGGGGACACGGGTTCGTGCCCTGGTCTGGGAGGATCCCACGTGCCGCGGAGCGGCTGGGCCCGTGAGCCATGGCCGCTGGGCCTGTGCATCCGTAGCCTGTGTTCCGCGGCGGGAGAGGCCATGGCAGTGAGAGGCCCGCGTACCGCAAAAAAAAAAAAAAAAAAAGGTTAATTCTATGTTGAAATCTATTACTACTAAACAGATTTTACTTACATTCTTGTCTAGTAGCAGAGCTGAAAAAACTAGGGTATTTTCACCTATCTCTAATATATTATGACTATTACATTAAAATTCTGCCTTTGGGGTACTGGAAGAGACATCAAGATGAAGTTGTTGCAGTTAACTGAAGATGCAGAGGATTTTTTTAAAAAAAATTTTATTGGAGTATAATTGCTCCACAATGCTGTGTTAGTTTCTGTTGTGCAACAAAGTGAATCAGCCATATGCATACATATAGCCCCATATCCCCTCCCTCTTGAACCTCCCTCCCACCCTCCCTATCCCACCCTTGTTTGTGGTCACAAAGCACAGAGCTGATCTCCCTGTGCTATGCTGCTGCTTCCCACTAGCTATCTATTTTACATTTGGTAGTGTATATATGTCGATGCCACTCTCACTTTGCCCCAGCTTCCCCCTCCCCCCACCATGTTCTCAAGTCCATTCTCTATGTCTACGTCTTTATTCCTGCCCTGCCACTAGGTTTATCAGTACCATTTTTTTTTAAGTTTCCATATATATGCGTTAGCATATGGTACTTGTTTTTCTCTTTCTGACTTACTTCAGTCTGTATGACAGACTCTAGGTCCATCCACCTCACTACAAATAACTCAATTTCATTTCTTTTTATGGCTGAGTAATATTCCATTGTATATATGTGCCACTTGAAGATGCAGAGAAGTTTTTAATATTTCTTTCCTGTAGAGCTGTAAATGACTTGAGTGGGTACCCATAGACGACACAGATCAAAAACTTTTTCAGTAGCCTTTTTATCTATGACAAGTTGTTTCCTCGAAGACTTGCAGTATTTTTTACTTTTTGTAAGAAAGATCCACTGACTCTCAATTCAGGAATTAAAAAAAATCATAGTTGTGTGGAAGTATTTTTAAATATCATATAGCTATCTCCTTTGCCTTTGTTTTATTGTACATAGCTTTTCAGCTAGGCAAATAAATTCATCTGTGCGGGGTTTGTTGTGCTATTTACTTATCTGATTACTTTCTTCTGATGTCTACCTCTTTCTGCAGTCGCATATTTCCAACCCACTCTACACCTCGTAAACTCTTTGAGCTTTGATAATTTCTCTATCAAACACTCTCACACTCTAACTGGTGTGATAGTTACTGAGTAATTAGCTTATGGGATTAAAATGCTAAAGCACTTTACTGTATGCTGAGTCAGTTATGGTCCCCTTTTTGTTAGTTCTTAATTATGGGGCAGGAGGAAAAGAGGTGGTTCTCATTTTATTCCCATCTATCCATTATCTGTAGGATCAGAATTTATTCATATGGTCATCCCAAGGATGGCACACTGTTGAAATAATAATAGCTACACTTAAAATCCAATATTCATGGAGTGCTTGCAGTGGACAGGCATGGTTCTAAGCACTCTAGATGTAAAATTAACTCATTTAGTCCTCACCATCATCCTATGAGGTAGGTACTGGTATCATCCCCATTTTATAGATGTGGGCACTGAGGCACAGAGAAGTTAAGTAAATCGCCCCAAGTCACCGAGTTAGTAAGTGGAAAGACCTGATTTTGAACCTAGGTACCTTGGCTCTATAATCTGTGCTTTTAATAACGTGAATCTATTGCTTATAAATGGCTCCTGTTTATGAAGTTCAGGGATCTATGAATCACACTGGTAGAATTTTAAATGTTTCATAGTCTTTGCTTATTATAATTATACATGTTTTGAGTGTGCAGCTTGTTAAACGAAAGGAAAGGCAACCAACATGTATACAACATCAAGTACCTGCCGTGCCGTCATTGTGTTAGGAAGTTTACACACATCATCTCATTCGATTCTCCCCACAACCCTGTGAAGCAGGTAGGATTATTCTCCCTGTCTTTTCAAGTGATAAAACTACCCCAGGAAGGCTAATTAACTAGTTCATTGTCCCACAGCTAATGAGTAGCGGAGCTGGGACTTAATCTTGGATCTTTCTGACTGTAATCAGTCAGACTCCAGGGCCTGTAATCTTGTCCACAAACTTTCCATTGGAAAAATCGTAAGCAGTATGCAGGTGATCTCCAGCTTATGTGTACCTGAGTAACATATGTGCCTTGTGTGTGGTTATCCATGGGACCCTTCCCATCACCCTGCTTCTGCAACATGAAATTTCCTCCTTTGCTCATACCAGCGGTACTTTTGGAACGTTTAACCTGTAGACCATCTACTTAGCCCCACTGGCATCTCTTTCACATGTCCTTTCTTTTCTGATCTGGCTGCCTTGATTCCCTCCCTCGTTGCCTCATGCCTGGCACTGTCCTCCCTGGCCTCCCCATCGTACCCCGAAATCGCCATGCCACCACCTGGGCAACCTTGCCAAGGGCATGTCTGTTCCCACACTCCATATTAAAGGCCTTTCAGTGACTTTTGTCCTGAGGGGGCTCAGCAGGCAGGGGAGGCCATTGCGATCTGCTCTCTGCACCTCTCTGCCCTCAGCTCTCCCTGGCGCCCCAAGCTGTGCAGCCGCTCCCATGCTGGTGGTGGGGACCTACATGCATTTCCCCGGTAGTGCCTTCTGTCTCCTGTATCCACATCTTTGCGATGCTTTTTCCACCTTGTCAACCTGCAGAATATTTTTCAAAACTCATCTTAGGCATTACTTCTCTTCCTCACTCTTCCTGCCACTCAAAGGATAAACTTAACCACTTTATTTATGCCCACATGCTACTCGGTGTTTTTCATTAACACGTCAGCCGTTTATTTCATTTATTTATTTACATGATTGTGGCAGTGGGATTTGAACAGCACTCCAGAGCATGGAATTTTCCCATCATCATATTGTTTTTGGATGGCTCTATGGAAATCCCCTAACCTTAGTGTATGCCAAAGAGCATGTCTTATGATTGGTGGGCAAATAGATTTATCCTGCTATACAAAGAATGTCATAATAGATAAAACAAATGCACAGGTCTCTTTGCTTTGGGTTATTCCTTCCCCCTCTAGAAGAAGGATTAAAGTCTCACCTGTCTCACAGGATGGGAGGTGACAGATTCTTTATTTACATGTCGAACCAAACACAAGAAACAGGGTGTAATTTCCAACTAGCAGCAGTGTCCTGAGAAGGGCTGAAAAGACTACCTGTGAAAATATCCTGTGGACTGATGAAATATGCAGATAAAGTTTTTGTATATTTCATCTTTCGCTTCTACTGTGGTTTGATTTCAGTCTGTCAATGCCACTGCAGTTTGCAGATCCAGAGAAACAGATTCCCTCTAGGGAATAATTGTACTTGGGCACCCAATTTCCTGGTTATAATTTCTGATCAGTGATGGGTATTCTGATGTGCAGAATGTGTCACATGGACACAATAAAGATGCCACAGATGGGGCTGTGAGTCAGCGGAGCAGCATAGCAAAGGTGGGAACTCATCCTAGAATAAGTACCTTTACATTGCCCTTCGAATTTTTAAAATCTTTTCTCTGCCTAAAACAGGCTGTCCTGTGAGTGTATCATAGGATTTTGATTTTTGTTGGTTGCTAACTTGGTCGATTTGATGGCAAGAGAACACATGTCTTGTTGTGCCTGCAGTATGTACCTGATAGCATGGGTATCCTAAACAGTTCCTTTTTCTGTCCTTTATCTAGGCAGATAGAATGTTGTGAAACAGCAGATGAATTCTATAGCACCATGGGGCGCCTTACCCAGGAGATGCTGGAGAATGATCTTCTGGAAAGCCATGAACTCATGCAGGTGAGTGGGCAGTGCCACCCCCCTTGGCTCGGGGGACCCTGGTACCGTGGGAACAAGCAGTGCCAGAGCAGCGGTCTTGGGAAATGTATTTTCCTAGTCCTCAGATGTAGTTTTTCAAATGACCAAGAGTCTATATATAATTTGTTAAGGGTCTAACTGCGTCACAAGAGGAAGGAAGACATGGATATTTGTTACGGCTTTCGTTCCAACTGTGTTGCTTAAAAATCATAACGTGCAATACAAAAACAAACCAAAAAACCACCAGAACACCTCCTCCCTCACCCCCCAAATCACCAGGTGTTTGTTCTGAATCTGATTCTTAGCTGTAAAGGGAGACTTGTGGGGAGAAATCATTATTTCTGAGAAGAGATTATTGAGGATAAAAAGGAGATTGTTCTAATCAGCATTTTGGTTTATTTGTTTTGCCCACATTTGCAACTCATATTATTACATATGAATCATAAATTTCAAAATGGAAGACTTGAAGGGTTTTGTCATTTTTCTGACATGTGCTGTATCTCAAGATTACATTCGCCAAATCATTAAAATTGGCAGTGAGTATAGAAGAGATAGTGGATTTGTTAATAGGCTCTCTTCCATTCGGCTCTATAACATGAGTTTCCTGCAGTCTCCTCCCGCTTTTTTTTTTTTTTTGCGGTACGCGGGCCTCTCACTGTTGTGGCCTCTCCCGTTGCGGAGCACAGGCTCCGGACACGCAGGCTCAGCGGCCATGGCTCACGGGCCCAGCTGCTACGCGGCACGCGGGATCCTCCTGGACCGGGGCATGAACCCGTGTCCCCTGCATCGGCAGGCGGACTCTCAACCACTGTGCCACCAGGGAAGCCCTGGTTTTACCTTTAAAGATGGATAGGAGTAGGTCGGGCCGTGTGTGTGTGTGTGTGTGTGTGTGTGTGTGTGTGTGTGTGTGTGTGTGTGTGTGTTTGAGGCAGTGGTGCAGAGCAGACAGGCAGTTCATGGCTGAGGGAACAGCATGAGACAAGGCATTGGCAATGAAAACCTTTATGGTGTGGGAAGGAAGCTACAGGAGTTTGGTATACAGGGATGGCTCGTGGGAGACCGCAGCCCATGGTTAGGAGTGTGGACTTGATCCTGGAGGTCAGTGGTTGTGAGCTTGTGCTTGCTGGAGTTCTTGGGTCTCTGTGGAACCTTTGGAAAGGGAAGAAGAGCTATGGGCCTGAGAGGTTTTAGGGGGAAGAGGGAAATGGTCTCAGTTGTGTCTGATGTCGACTACAGGGGCAGCTCTGTGAAGGGTGGACTTGAAGGGGTCACCATGGGGAGGCAGTGAAGCGTCGAAGCAAGAATGGAACGGAGGCAGTACTTAGAAGATGAAGTTGACAGGACTTGGCCGTGGGAAGTGGACATGGGGTGAGGGAGAGAGACAGGGAGAACCAGGGACACAGCCCCCAGGTTTCTGGCTTCGGAAGAAGAGGAAAAGTTCGCGGGGGAGGAAGGTGGATTTGTCTTCACACTGGCTGCACTGGAGGTATTCTGTGGTTGCCCCGCTTCTTACCTATCCAGAGGCGCTCCCCACGACTTCACAGCCAGGACCTATTGCACTGGCCACAGCTCTGTCCCCACCCAGTCCTCTGTGGGCCCTGCTCATCCCCATGACAGGGCTTGTGGTTCCCTCTGACACCCTATCTGGGCAGATCCTTTCTGTCTGCCGGATCCTACTCAGTCTGTTCTCCCCTCCCCTCAGGCTCTGTCATCTCAGCCCTCGTTGATGATAATACCTCTTCCCTACTCCTTCAGTACTTAAGATTGTCAGCAGTTGACTTAATGTTCATTACAAATTATTTTATATTGTTTGGTATTTTTTCAAATATGTTAATCTTATCTAGCAAGTTCCTTAATGATAAGGGCCTTGGTATCCCCATAACGTCTAATGTAGTGCTAAGAATCCACCTGGTTGCTCAGTGCATACACAGAATTATAGAACGTTAGAACTCGAGGCAGTGGTTTTCAAACGTGACTGTGTATAAGCGGCATGTCAAGAGTGTATTAAAAGGCAGATATTTGGCCCGTGGGTGGTTCTGATGCAAGTGGCTTTGAGCTAACACTTAGACAACACTGGTTTGACAGAAGCTTAACGGTCCACTAACCTAATTCTGTCATTTTACAGAGAAGAAACTAAGACATGGAGAGTGAGCATCTTGCCATATTCTTAGGTTGTCTAGTGGCAGACGCAGAACTGGGGCCCAAGCTCGACACCTGGCCAAGTGCTTCTCATCACCACCCAACACAGGGCTTCCACCTTATTGAAAACATGACTTTCTAAAAGCTGAAATCCCTTTTAGAAGGATGAGCAACGTTTTATCTCACCTAAAGTTTAAACATTGCCAGAAGGAATGATAGATATGTTGAGGTACTCCATCTTTGTCCTCCAGGAATTTCCAGTCTTAAGTATTAAGAGATGGGCTTCCCTGGTGGCGCAGTGGTTGAGAGCCCACCTGCCGATGCAGGGGACACGGGTTCGTGTCCCGGTACGGGAGGATCCCACATGTTGCGGAGCTGCTGAGCCTGTGCGTCCGGAGCCTGTGCTCTGCAACGGGAGAGGCCACAATAGTGATAGGCCCGTGTACCGCAGAAAAAAAAAAAAAAAAAAAGAGCAAAGAGCACCCCTTCTTTACTCTGCTTTAAGAGAATCCTGGAAGGAAAAATATAGGCTGTGGCTTGATTGATTAGAATTCCATTTTAGCAGCATTTCTCCTGCCGAGGGAAACATCTGGTGAAGATGAATTGAGCCTAATTTTGTACAATTTATGTTTTCATGTTTCTTTTAAAGCATGTCAATAATGAAAAAGAGAAATATAGTTCCTTTTCAGCAGTGCCTAAATATAAATGTCTATTTAAATGTGTGTTGGTAGTTTGGGCAGTACGTAGACTTGGTTTTCCTTGACATCGTAGAGTATTAAGGAGAGAAATGCTGAATGTCATTTCAAGCACTCTCTTTTCTGTACTCTTAAAAAAAATTAATTCAATGGCTGTGATCCAATTATGGTAGACTTTTAAGCCTGTCAGCAAACCTGAAATGACTCCAGATGAAAAATTTGGACTGCATACAGATCTTTATTTTCGAGCTGAAGAGATGAAAATGTTCTCCCTGTTAGGTCTTCCGTATTTTTTTCAGTTCTAGGTGCCATAGGCAAAATAATCTACTGGGTTTTTTCCCCCTGCAAATTGCATCACTCTTTTATTTTACTAGTAATGGCCATTTAAAAAAAACAACAATGTTAGAAAAAGATACTGGGAGAATGCTGATGAAATAGTGTATATGGATTTCAGTAAGACTTTTGACAAAGGTCTCTCATGAATTCTTTAAGAGTAATATAGAGAAAAGTTAGTTAGATGCTGTTTACTAGATGGGTTTTAGGTGCTTAGGAAAACCTAGCCCAAAGTGGTTGTCAATAATTTACTGTTACCTGTGGGGAGCTTTCATGTGCCATGAGGCAGGACCTGCCTTTGGACTGTTCCCTTTTTTCTATCAGTGATGAAGTAGAAATTACATGGATGTGAATGCTTGTCCAGTAGAAGGTTACTGTTTGATTAGTGCTGTCAAAAATGAAACCGTCTGCCTTGCAGAATTGTGTGTGCCCATAACTGCAAGTGTTTAATTAGTGCCTTTATGATCATCTGTTGGAGATGCTTTAGAGGGAACTTCTGCTTGGGAGGGAGGTTGAACTAAAATTATGTTTAAATTTCTTTCTAACCCTAAGACCCTATTCATGTACTATACTTTGGCTCTAAGATGATTAGTAAAATTCCTTTCTTGAAATCTGTTGTAAATCTCTGATTTACACAGTTGGAAATCTACAGCTTCTCAGGTATCCTGAGGACTGTGGTGGTGTGTGTGGTGTACCTTCATGGGATAAACATGCCTGCCGACATGTGAGACCTTTAAATAAGTGAGTGAGTATATGCAAAGTACTATTAGCACATTTGTTTCAGGAACACCGATGTATGCTTTGAAGGGCTAACTAAAAGTAAATTATAGAGAAAGGAAAACCAGGAATAGAGAATGCAGCTCAATGGAGCCAGTGTTCTTTTTGGTCCAGTGTCTTTAGCTGAGTCGCCCTTGGAGGAGCTTGGTTAGACCCCAGACTATTTACCCTGGAGCAGGATGGGACAGAGTAGGGGCAAGATGTACTTCCCTTTCTTTCTTTTTTTTTCTTTTAATATTTATTGGAGTATAGTTGATTTACAATGTTGTGTTAGTTTCATGTGTATACGGCAAAGTGAATCAGTTATACATATACATATATCCACTCTTTTTTAGATTCTTTTCCCATATAGGCCATTACAGAGTATTGAGTAGAGTTTCCCATGCTATACAGTAGGTCCTTATTAGCCCTTTCTTTTCTTGTACACTTCCTTCATGAGGCTGGACAAAGGAGTTTTCTGATAACTTTTAATAAAACTGGCAAAAATAAAACAAGTGAATCTTCAGCTAGACATCCCACTAATTGTCTCCAATGAGACATCTTACTTTGTAGAGAATTTTGAAATTCCTAGCTTAATAATTTCATCTTTTAAACTTGAATCCAGATGGTGTGGGTTTCTCTTTTATTGAGATATGATTGGCATATAACATTACATTAGTTTCAGGCATACAGCATAATGATTCGATATTTGTATATATTGTGAAATGATCACAGTAAGTCCCGTCAACACCCATTACCACACACAGTTACAAATTTTTTTTCTTGTGATGAGAACTTTAAAGATCTACTCTCTTAGCAACTTTCAAATACACAATATAGTATTAACTATAGTCACCGTGCTATTCATTGCATGGTATGGGTTTCTTGAAATCTGAACCAGGTTTCTAAATTGTTAAGGAAGAAAAGTCTCATGAGTGAGGGACAGGCTGACTCTTGGCCCAGCAGTGGAACCAATATTTGATGTGTCAGAGACTGATGCTGCTGTACTGAGGCCCAAACAGAGGTGCTGTGCTCTGGACTTAGAGTTGGGGTGCTGAGGTTTTCACATCTCTCCATTTCCCTCAAAAGCGTATGTGGAGTTAAGACAGGTCACAGGAGCAAGGAGGGAAGAATTCCATACTGGCAGTAAAGCAGCTTCTCAGCGATGAGCTGCTGGTAAACTTTGTGGGGTCAAAAAATGTGAGCGTATACTCTGACCATGTTATTAATGAAATTATATGAAGTATTTCAGGCATACAGAATGTATTAAAATAATAAAACTTACACACCTACGACCCAGCTTAAATAAAACATTAACAACATAGGTGAACACCCTCATATCCTTCTCTCTGATCCCGCCACCTCCTCTCCTCTCAGAGGTAACCGGCATCCTGAGTTTCATGCCTTCATTTTTTCAGATGAGAGACAGGAGGCCTGGAGAGGTTGGGAACCAGCTTAGCTGCACACTCCAGACTCGTGGGAACCACAGTCTTCTGCTTCTTCCCAGTGGGGAACAGTTCACTGTTAGTAAATTTGTACTGCTTCTCAGCCTTCCGGGTACACAGATCTTCCTGGACTTACGATGGGGTTACATCCAGATAAACCCTTCATAAGTTGAAAATGCATTTAATACACCTAAACTACCAAACATCACAGCTCAGCCTGGCCTGCCTTAAACATGCCCATAGCCTAGAGTTGGGCAAAATCATCTGACACGAAGCCTATTTTATGATGAAGAGTTGAATAACTCATGTAATTTATTGCATACTGAACTGCAAGTGAAAAACAGAACGGTTGTCTGGGTCCAGAATGGTTGTAAATGTATTGGTTGTTTCCCCTCGTGATCACGTGGCTGATGGGGAGCTGCCTTGCCCAGCGTCATGGGAGAGGACCTATGGTGTATTGTAAACCCAGGAAAAGTTCCAAATTCTAAATTCGAAGAAGGGTTTCTACTGAATGTGTATCACTTTTGCACCTTCGTAAATTGGAAAAATCATTTAAGTTGAACCATTGTAAGTCAGGGACTGTCTGTAATCAAGTATGTGTGAGATAATACGACTTGGAGATGACTTTTGTGGTCCCAATAAACTGTGTAACTTTGCATAATAAGCAATGGAGAATCAAAGGGAAGGAATTTTAGTCAACACTTCCTTGTTTGGAATCTTGGGATGTTACACTAAGGTATAAGCGGATACCACAGAAGTTTGGGGACAGTCAGATGTGCAGACTGTTTAGAATCGAAATTACGGTGGACTGTCCCGGTGGTGGCTCTGAGCTGTGGGGTGAGGCTGCAGTGCTAGGAAGCCCCTTTCAGAGCCCTCCTTTTCCTACCTGTGCAGATATTAGACATCTCCTAAGCCTTCAGGAAAACAGTACTGTTGAAATGAAAAATACCACTTCAAAATATTGTCCTAGAAAAGTGTTATCAGGACATTTGAATGGCTTCTTGGAAGAAATGAAAGTTAATGTGATTAATATACATTTTCTGGTGAATAAGAACCTGAAAGATTGAAGAAATATGTTTGGAGAGTTAAATTTTCATAAAATTAAGAGAACAAACAAGATGATTTTCCTCCTGCTGGTAGAATGATATATAATCTTAAAATCCTGGAGGAAGCACAGGTGCTTTTCCCATTTTTATTTATAGATTTTTAACAGCCTGTGCTTTACACCCTGTCACTTTTTTCTTTCTTTTTTTTTTTCTTTAAAAATAACAGTTAACAATTTTCACCTAGAACTGATTCACAGACATTTGAAAAGGTGGTATCTTTGGAGAAAGCTTGCAGGTGATCACAAGATTGTCCCCCGGACATAATTGTATCCGGAAGGCTGACATTTAATGCCTATAACGATCATCAAGCAAAGCTTTGAAAAACGAGTGGCACATATGAAGATTGATGGGTTCACTGTGAAAGAAGTAATAGGGAGCTGTGAATTTCTGAATTAACCCATCTATCAAATGAGCAAGGGAACGTCAGACTGTCCCCATTTGCCCACCCATGTTCACCAGTTGGAGTGCCCAGTCCCAGCTGGGTTGATTTGGGGACTAACTGCTGTTTTATCAGTATTCTTTTGTCTTTCTCTAACACGATATTGAAGTATATTCTCTCCTTCTGCTGTGTAAGGAGCAGTATCTACCTCTTCACACCCAAATCATAGAACTTTAATGTCTTTGCAGGATTGATAAGAGTTGAAAAGACCACCATTTCAGACTTGGCATTTTTGTTCCTGTTTTCCAGACTGTGTATTCTATGGCTCCATTCCCTTTTCCACAGTTGGCAGAGCTGAGGGAAAAATACACCTACAACATTACACCATTCCCAGCCACAATTAAGCCCACCTCAGTTTCTGGGTAAGGTCCTTTTTTTTTCCTTCTTGTTTTCATGATGGAAGACTTAATACCTTAATTTGTTATTAATATTTATTAAACCCCAGAAATAAAGTAGTTTGGTGCTTAAAATCTGAATATCTCTTTCCCAAAGGTTTTGCTTTAAATTCCAGAGGGAGATTTTTGAAAGTGTACTTTCCAAAGAAGGTTGGAACATAAACTGAAGGGATATTTAGCAACCCCACAACTTATTTAAAAATATCAAATATTAAAAATCTCAGTAATTAAAAAAGGGTAGAATCAAAAAAGTGTAGACAGATGAGCTAGTTTAAAATACTGTGGAGACCAGAAATTAACAAATACACACAGACACACAGACACACACACACACACACACACAGGAATTTAATATATGAAAATGTAAATCAACACTGAAAAGATATACTATTTAGTAAATGGTGCTGGGCCAGTGAGACTCAGTCTGGAAAGAAAGAAAGTTAGAGTCATACTTTACACCATACATCAGGATAAACTCCATAGAGATGAGACAGTTAAATGGAAAAAACTGAAATAATAAGCAGAAGAAAATGTGGAAGGATGTCTTTAGTTCTTTGGAATTGGGAAGGCCTTAATAACTGACTCAAAAACAATAAAGGATAAAAAATTAAATACTTTAAAAATAATTTTCTGCATGACTAAAACCAAAACAGAGCAAAAGAAAACCTCCATAAGCAGACACAAAAATATTTATGAAAAAATATTTGTAACTGATTCCCCTCATATATAAAGTTCTTAGAAGTCAATAAGAAAATGACCACCATCTGAAAAATGATGAAACTATGGGAATAGGCAGTTTACGTAAAAGGCAACTTCACTTGGACTAAGAGAAATGCAGCTTAAAGCAAGATTGAGATTCTGGTTTTTTCACCTATCAGGTTTACAAAAATTCAAAAGGTTGATGTGCTCTCTGTTGATAAGGCTATGGGGAAACAGGCACTCTTACACTTTGCTCATGAGAGGTTAATTATCATGGGATTTGGGGCAGGCAATTTGACCGTATTTTCCCAAATTACTATTGCATATATCCTTTGACCCAGCAATTCTACCTTTCTGAATTATCCAACAAATATATTTGTACACATGCAAAACACAGTATGTATAAGGTTATTTATTGCAATGTTGTTTATAATAGTTTAATATTGGAAACCACTTGAGTGTGCATCATTTAGCAGCCTGGTTCCATAACATGGGCTACGTACATACAATACAGTGCATACATACAAACAATAATGTATACATACAGTACAGTGCAGACATTAAGAAAAGGATGAGGAGGGAGCTCTGTGTGAATATGGAGAGAATTTTTTTTTAGGTGAATAAAAGCAAGGTGCAGAAGAGTGTACTTATATATAACATGCTAATACTTACGAAAAAGAGGTGAAAAATAAGACTGTATAGTCATATTTGCTTATTTAACTGATAAGGAAGCTGAAGAATACATCAGAAACTAATAACAGTGGTCATTTGTGGGGATTAAGTGGGGCAAGAACAGGGTAGAAGTTGGACAGGGATGGGAGATGGACTTTATATATATGTATAAATTATTTAAATATAATATATAATTATATAAATGTTATAGAAATTATAATAATGTATATACTTTATATATATGTCATTTAAGTCATGTGGCTGTATTACTTATTTAAAAATAATACCACTTTTTGAAAAAATATTCCTTTTTCTTTTATGTTTTCCAAGACGACATGGTAAGGTCAGAGACAGCGATGAAGAGAATGACCCAGATGATGAAGATGCTATTGTTAATGCAGTGGGGTGTCTCGGACCTTTTAGTGGGCTCCTGGCACCTGAACTGCAGAAGTACCAAAAGCAAGTTAAAGGTAAAGAGGTGGCATCTATTAGATACTCACAATGTGTTGGTTCACTATAGCAAGGGCAGTATTATTGTGTCCTATAAATGCCTGTTGTTTCCCGAACTGATTACCACTATTAAAGGTCTTTATTAAAAGTAACTTCTCTTATCATTTAGGAGGATCTCTCTGTTATGTGTTACATGCATAATACATATTTCTTCTTCTTTATGATTCGTTTTGCCTCCCACTCATCTGATTTAAGTTTGTGTGCTCAGTTCCTTAGCACCGAGCCTGGCATATAATGGATGCTTACTACATTCTGTTTGAGTTAAATTGAGTCCATTATAGACTGGCTTCTTTTCCACTATGGAAATACTCTCTAAAGCCAAAATATTATGGTACCTCGACTTGAATTTCAGTGATCAGAAACTCATTATCTCATAAGACATTCTGCTGATTCCTCTGCTTAGCCCAGTGTTTCTAGTTTTGAGGAGATAAACTCCACTTACTGGTTCTATTAATAGTTCTTCTCTTCAGAACAAAACAGAACAAGTCTGCTCCCTCTTCTGCTGGATGTCTCCTTTGAATCTTGAGGACAGTCATCACGTCCCCCAAAAGTTTCTTCATGGTCCAAATTCAGAATTTCTCAAAGATACGTCTTCCAGAACTTTTAATGTTCTATAAATTCACCTCTAAATGTCCTGCAGTTTGATAGTATCCCTCTTAAAAAGTGGTGCTCTGAATTGAATGTCATGCTATGTTTGTTTTTTTCTTGCAGGAAATAGATTGGACATTATTCGTGTAATGAACTCTTTTGAAGCATTTCGCGGTTCCCCCGCTGTGATCTTTCCTATCTTTGGTGGGAGCTCTTCCTTTATGACATTTATTCTAGTTTGAAGACCATTCTCCTTGCTGAAAGAGGACAGAAACAAAAGATGTCAGGCACCTCTGCATTCTCTTTGCCATCTGCTAGCTTTATACTGCCTTCTCAAAGTCATGGGGCTATTTTCTTGTTTTTGTTCCTCTTGCTTAGAAGGCTTCCTTTTTGTTTGTTTGTTTGTTTTGTTGTTGTTTTGGTCGTGGTAGTTTTGAGTATGTTCTGCAAGCCTTAGCTTGTTTTGAGTTTTAACCTGCTTAATGTTCGGTTCATGTCATTTTGTGTGTGTGTTCTTGGTATGCACTCCCCTGTCATCTTTTTAAATGACTTTAAAAAATCTGAACTCAACAAGAGTTCTATTGGTTTTGTAATGGTTTCTATCTCCTCTTTAGTTGCCTGAATTTTAGCTTTTGGTTTCTAGCCATGGGATCAATTAGTGTTTTAACTCTAATGTTTTTGAATCTGCTTTCTGTCATCTGGGTCTATGTTCCATTTTTTCCCCCCTGTTATTCTTTCTGTGCAATTACAGGCTCTGGGATCACATGGTCATTTTCTCCTAAATTTCATCCTTAGTCTTTCTTGTTGGTTTTACTTTAGTTAGATTAGAGGTCCTCTTTTACTTTTCTTCTCCTTAGAGAAGTATTTTCAATAAAAAAGAAAGTTTACCAGATGTTCAGTCTTTATCTGAATAACACTTTCAGCAGATGTTAGGATACTTGAAATCCCCTACTAATCTTTTTTTTAAGCTTGTCCCCAGGCAAGTTTTACATATCGTGTTAGAAAAGCCTAATTTTATCCCCTGTTTACCTGTGTGGCATGTGAGTGTATTTTCACACAGTACTTATTTCTGTTTCTTGGAGGTAATCTCAAATTTATTTAAGGGTTAAATCTACTAATTGTTGGTGTTAACAGGAGCAGAAACTGCATCAGACATAACACACATAGTAGACAGTCAGGAAATGCTTGTTAAATGAATAAAACCATTTCGTTTCTAGTGATACCATGATCTAAAGTCTTGATAATCTTATAGAATGTCTTGCTGTTTTTAACTTAAAACTCACTTTTAATGACTGACTAAACCCTACAGTGTAAAATTTACAAATTTATAGTTGTGAGTCCTCATGCAGTTAGTTATATGGCACCTTGTAAATCCTCATGTAGTTATATGGAAATCTGTACCCTGACTTTAGACAGCTAGAGTTATATTTTTCTAAGGGAATTTTAGAAAATGGCAGTGATTTTTATCTGGAAACAGGGGATCTCATGTCCATATAATGAACAAAGGGGTAATAAAATCAGTGAACCCACACAGCTTGTTTCAGACTCACAGTTAGCCTAATAAGAAAATGCAGAAATATTTTCAGGACCAAATAAAAACAAGTACTAGACAAATTCTAGTGTGCATGTTTTTTATGGTTCAGAATTTCCTGGAGTTAAGATACTACCCCAGGTTATATAGTGTAAGCAATTCCCATTTAGTCCCGTCCTCCTCCTGTGATAGTGTCTCCTTGTCTCTATTCCTTGGAATGTAGAACCAAATGGGGACCAGAATCTGAGATCCAATAACATTGCGGAGCTGAGTCCAGGAGCGATCAATTCCTGCCGAAGTGAATACCATGCAGCTTTTAACAGTATGATGATGGAACGCATGACCACAGATATCAACGCGCTGAAGCAGCAATATTCTCGGATTAAAAAGAAGCAGCAGCAGCAGGTTCATCAGGTGTATATCAGGGCAGGTAATGTGCTTCTTTGAGTCAATTTCAGCTCCTGTCAACTTGTGAAAGGAAGACCGAGTATTCCCAGGATGGCCTGGGAATTACTGCTCACTCTGGCTCAGCATCCACCAGCACAGCTGGCAGGAGACAGTAACATCTTTATCTTCTCACTTTTTATTTTATCTTATCAGGCTCTAAATAAGAGAAAGGTCCCAAGGACCAGGCAATTGATGGTATTCAATACTTCTTTACTCTGTATGCTTGTGGAGAAGGCTTTACAAATGATTAGAATGTTGCAAAGCCATGCAGTCCTTGGATTTGAGACATTTTGGAGCTGTTGCCTCCTAAATTTCAGGCATTTGGAAGTAGAATTTAGTCATCTGTATACTGGTAAATAATATTACTACCAGTCATTTAGGTAGTAATATAACAGATGTTGTGATCAGAGGAAAAGGAAAAAGCCATTACTGTGCCTGCTAACTGTGGGTTAGCAGTGTCTTGGGAGTCTGCTGAGAAGAACACAATTGTACTGCAGTTGGAAATGCTCTTTTCCAAGGATTGTCAAGCTTCTTTTTTCCTTTAAATTCCAAAAATCCCAATGAACAATCTGATTTATTGTTTAATATATGCTGATTTGGGAATTGGTTTGTCTTATTTTAAGTGAAATCCTAATGAAAATGATGCCGATCCAGGATTAACCAAGATATAAATTTGACATGTTTTTAAGAGGCTTGTGAGCATGTGACTGATCTTGCATAAAAACTGAATTTACCTTTCACTTGTTGGGGAGGAGTAGGCAGCTTCTTAAAGATTCTTACTTTATCCTGAATCATTAAAAAAGCAATCACAAAAGGAACTAACAACGATAACACTTTAATTTTCAAAACATTGGCACATACATATCCTCATTTGTCCTTAAATCTATGAGAAAGGCAAGGACAGATATTCTTATATCCTTTTAAAAAATGAGGAAATGGTAATTCAGGAAGGCTTAGCAACTGTCTAGGATTATATAACTATAGTGAGTGGTCAGGCCAGGGCTAGAACCCCCATGTTCTGATTCTTTATGTAGTTCTTTTCCAACTATCAGAAGCTTTAGGTGGAATGGTGAACAATTGCCATTGGGTACTAAATCAGCCCAGTGTCTGTACTCCAGTCAGGGGTCAGCAAACTATGGTCTGTAGGTCAAATTCTGCTCACTGCCTATTTTTGTAAATAAAGTTTTATTGAAACAGGCATGCCCATTTGTGTACATATTGTCTATGACTGCTTTTGCACTACAGTGGCTAAAATATTTATAGTCTGGTCCTTTACAGGAAAAGTTTGCTGACCTCTACTCTAGACCAGGGTTTATGTGGTCATTTTTAGGGAGAGATTGCTGCTCAAGGGCAAAGTTTGAGAGCATTGTTTCTCAAACTTTACTGTGAATACGCATCACTTGGGGATGTGTCAAAATGAGGAATCTGCTTCAGTAGCTGTGGGTGGGACTGAGATGATGCATTTCCAATGAGCCTCCAGGCGATGCCACTGCTGCTGGATGGAGATTGCACTTTGAGTAGCGGGGTTTTTAGAGGAGATGGTGTAGGATAGGATCAGCAGCACAGGTGGAGAGATTGAACTTGTGCTAGAGGCAAAAGTCCTCAGCTTCTGAGATTTAAAGGAAGGTGGTAAGGATGGTGGTTGAGGTACCAGCTTCCTAGGTTAGGGAGGACAGGAAGTTAAGGCTTTTCAGTCCTGATAGCTTCTGCTTTTATGAAGAAATTGGAGGAAAAGTTGTTTGCTTGGGAGTAAGTTGAAGGTTGGGTGGGAGCTTAAAGAAAGTAATGAAGATTTGGATCGGCCGTCGGAAGCAATGGGAGAGGGAAAGAAAGTTTGTTCAGCGGCATTGCGGACCTAACAAAAATAGGAAGTTATGAATTTAAGGGATATCAATCCACATGGCTGTGTGATTTCCCCTCATCAGCATCCCCACCCCCAGCAGCTATTAGCAGCTCCTGTTTTGGAAAGGAGAATGTGAATTGTGGATCTGGAGTGGAGTTTTGCCAGGCATGTGTGATAAAGCCATAGGGATGCCTGGATGTGTGGTTATTGGTGAGGTGTGGTCCAAGGGATCCACCTTGCATCTAGCAGGGTAGGGGTGTAAGTGTGCCGAGGAGACAGTGAGAGGTTATGAGAAGACTGAGGGATCAAGGAATGGAAATCTTTATGGTTTAGTACCAAGTATAGTTACATCGAGAGTCTGAGAGCTGGAAGAGTCAATGAGAGGAATATGAGAGTTAAATATTTTTCACATGAGGCAGATCCGAGTGATGAGGTTTAGGATGCAACTGGGCAGGTGGAGGATGGGTCAGTCACTGAGGCAGTAAAGTAACCGAGGTAGGTAAGAGGACATAGAGTGAAGAGGAAACAGGTGTCAAAATTTCAGTGAAGATTGGACTGTGACCAGAGGTAGGTAGATAGGAACAGTCGAGAAGCACAGACGGGAGTTCAGCCATGTGACCTAGATATCAGGAGGAAGGCTGTTCACAAGAGATGGCGGGGTCTTCTCTGCCTGCAGTTGTCGTCCCTGGGGCCATGAATGTTGAAGCTTCATTGGAAATAGGGGCTCCGTCATAGCCACAGGATGAGGACAGTAATACTGTGAACAGTGCCTTCCAGGAGAACACAGCTTTTGGTGCTTTCCTGTTTTCAATTTGCTTTCAAAGTCAATTGAGGACACAGGAGTGGAACTAGGGCCAGCCACTGGATAGCTGTGATGTCACTGCATTTTTACCACCTTCTTATCACTTCTCTCATTCTGCTGTCTCTCAATAATATGCAGTGTGTTGTTTTTCTACCTCTCAGGAGCTGACAGCTGGTAATCTATATGGTCATAGCGTTTGACCTATTATTTAAAAAAGAAAATCTTCAAAGATTTCCTAGATACCAGACCTCCGAGGTTGCTTCTCAGACACAAGGCTCTCTGTAAAAAACACTAGGGGGGCTGAGCTCTAATTAGTAACAACGGGTCAGAGTCTGTTCCTTTTAGTATCCTCAGCCCCTTGTCCCCTCCTCTTTGAAGAGGAGGGAATCCGTACCCCAGGCTCTAGGATCGAATTCAGTTTCTGCTGCCTTCAGTTACATGACTCTGCCAAGACCTGGGAAATATGTGGGCAGGCTCCAGGGACAACCTGTGTGTGACTCCTGTTCTGTGATGGATGTCTTTCTCTGTGGTACCTTTCACACGACCTTTCAACATTTCTTTCAGACAAAGGGCCCGTGACCAGCATTCTCCCATCTCAGGTAAACAACTCTCCAGTTATAAACCACCTTCTTTTAGGAAAGAAGATGAAAATGTCAAACAGAGCTGCCAAGAATGCTGTCATCCACATCCCTGGTCACACAGGAGGCAAAATATCTCCTGTCCCCTATGAAGACCTTAGGACCAAGCTCAATTCTCCATGGCGAACTCACATCCGGGTCCACAAAAAGAACACGGCGAGGACCAAGAGTCAGCTGGGCTGTGGGGACACCGTCGGGCTGATAGACGAGCAGAATGAGGGCTGCAAGACTCACAGTCTGGGGGCAGTGCAGGCATTTTCCTCCGATTGTGTGGGGGCAGCTCAGAGGGAAGGTGGCAGCTCCGACGGCGGCACTGGGAGGACCATCGAAGGGCAGTCTCCAGAGCCGCTGTTTGGGGATGCTGATGCCGATGTGTCTGTGGTCCAGGTGAAGTTAGAAGCCTTGGAACTGAACGCAAGGGATGCTGCTGCTGAAACTGATCTCAAGGTGCACCTGCCCTGCCAGCAGCACCTCCCGGAGCCGCCAGATGCACCCAGAGGAAACAAGGCCCCTGGCAAGTCTCCCCAAGGCAGCCACCCGAAAACTCCCATCTTTAGCCCCTTTCCCAGCGTCAAGCCACTGCGTAAGTCAGCCACTGCCAGGAATTTGGGGTTATATGGTCCTACAGAAAGAACCCCGACCGTGCACTTTCCTTACATGAGCAGGAGCTTCAGCAAGTCCAGCGGTGGAAACAGTAGCACTAAGAAACGGTGACATCTTTCAGCAACTGTGTATCCACATCCACCTCTTCAGGGTGGCAGAAGGGTTCCAGCTGGATGGCTCCAAGAGAGCTTCAGTTGTCCATTGAAAATGAAGAGATAGGTTCAGAGATGAGCAACGGTCCATAAACATGGGAACTGGAAATTTTATAATGGGTGCTAGAATAGGGATGTCTTCCGATCATCGATACAGTGGGTTCTTGTGGCAAAATAAATATTGTGGTTTTAAAGTGTGAAGTTTTCCCAACTTTTCATCGTGAGCTGTTTAGAAAAGACTTTGTATCTAGGCTGTTAACCCCTCTTCCTTCCTCCTGTTCTGAGGGCCTTCAGGGTGCCTGTGACAACCCCCTACCCAACCTTCCAGTTCTCTGGGTGTTATTAATACTCAAGCATGCACACACTAGCTTGCTAGACCAGAAACTGTAAAAAGAAAGTAAGTTTCTTAGTTGCAAAGAACTTCCCAATTTCCCTCTTCATGCCCCACTGGGGGGAATGTTTGTATGTGTGAGTTTTCCTTCAGTAGTTTCTTTCAGCCAGTCTCAAAACTGGTTTTTATTCTTGTGCTAAAATGCAGGAGAAAAATCTAGATAGCCTTTCTTTCACTTTCTATTTCTACCTGCAAAAGGAAGAAAACCTTTATCGGTTGAAATGTAGCTTGATCATCAGCTGGAAGATCTTATGAAGAGGACACAAATGGGTTATGCATTAAGCAGTTGCTCTCAACAGCTTGCCGACTCCACTGAGCTTTCCTCGAGCTTCGTGTTCACCTCTTAAGCAGCGTTTTGGTCCTCAGTGGTGGGATCACCAACGGGCTTTATACAGAGCTTGTCTGGCATCCACCGTGCAGCTCATTTACCTATCAGTTCTCCACTGCAGATGCGAGTGGAGCCAGAACATGGCACCTGCAACTCTGTTACTTGAATTTTGTGCTTGTTTTGGGTGGGAGTACTTTGTTGAGTACTTTCTTACTGGAACACTGCCTTTCCCTGGAGAAGGCCCCGGTGCTTTCTAGCTCTGGCTCGCCCATTCCTCCCCAGAGACAGCACCTGTTACCTCCATCATGCAGACGGGAACTCTGAGCCACACAGGTAAAGTAGGACTTCAGATACTCAAGGTAAATACTCCCGATACTCAATGTGACTCAGCCACATTGCCTCCAGTGCAATAGGTGGGTTTTATGCTCCGTGTACCCAGGTGCACTGGCTACATAGTTTCTAGAAACCAAGACTGGGAAGCTATTCACTGCACTCCCTCCTGACTCAAAGGACCTTTCTCCAGATGGTACAGAGTCCTGTGATGGCGTTTTATAAAACCAGCTTTGACCTTCTTATCTGAAAACATAGTTCATTTAAAAAATGCTTCATGCAGCTGTCCTTTTGGCTGGACAAAAGGCTCACTCCTCAATCCCCTTCTCCCACCAACATTAGAAGATAGATTTGGCATTTTTATCCTCGTTCCCTGGAAGACCTCGGCTAGGCTTGCCGGCATTTTGATGAGGCAGTCAGTATTCATTTGAGCTAGTTGGATTGCTAATTCTGAAACCAAAGCTATAGTTTTAGAAAGAGTTTTTACTATGAGAGGCTAATTTTTATAATAAAATAGAGAATGTGGTTGTGTGGGCTTTTTTGCACAGAAAACACAAGAATGATATATACAACGAGAAGAGTTATCCCTTTTGTGGTATTTTTACCCTCCAAAGAACTGAAGATGGAAAATATGACTCATAAGTTATTGCAGTTTTGGTCTTGCAGGAGAATTCTGTGCCATCTGAAGTTAGCATGCAGCTTCTTAAAAAGCAGCCACTCCCACAGCCTGTGTCTTGGGAAGGGTGTAGGTGGAGAGTCGGGATTACTTTGCATACCACCCCCAGGACGAGCCCCACTGCATTTTCCAAAGTTAAGCCAGTGATATGATTTTCTTCCATCTGCTGAACTTTACATTCCACCTTGTACTCTTTTCTCCTCCCCCCTTCCCAAGTGAGTCAGAATAGTCATTTCCCCTTGAGGGATGTCTGACTTGAATAGAGAATTTTTCTTTTCTCTCTTGAGTCAGCGCCCAGCTCCCGGAGGGTCTGGGTTTGGGGAGGTGGGTCAGGGGCTGGAGGGCACTTACTGCAGTTCTTAGGCTTGTGCCATCGCTGTCTGCCACCTGTCTTAGGGTTAGTAGCACATGCTGTATCTGTTTCCTGGGGTTGGTCTTCCTGAGAAAAGAATGGATGTGATGGCACATGGTTTGGGATAAGTATTTGTTGAATGAATGAATAAACTACTGAAAGGATAATAGTCCTTTGAGGTAAAAATGACCTCATCAGGATTTCCAAACCTGACAGATTCCTGTTAAAGCACTCTGTCCTGTTAAAGTGCATGCATTGTACCATGTAATCACCATGTGTATGGGTCAACTTGTGAGCTTTACCTACTTTAGAAAATAAAGGATCTGCAGTAGCCTGTAGCACACAGCATGTACGAAGAGACCAGTATGGACTTCTGTCTTCTTTGTATTGGACACTGTATGCCAGCACCAAGTACTTCTTTGTATTGGACACTGTATGCCAGCACCAGTACTTACCAAGTAGCGGTTTCTTCATTTTTAGATATGTCTGTACCCCGTCAGCACTTAGGCCGGAGCCGACTCCTCATGTCTCTGCACCTCGGTTCTCTTACAAAAGCCTCCAGATACTTTAAACCTAGTTTGTAATGTCAGCCTATGGGGCTGTAACTGGAATATTGTATTCCCTTTTTCAGTCTCTCTTGTTCTGAAGAACTGTACTGATTACAAAGATATATGCATAAAGATTCTCATTATTGTAGCTATTGTGACGTTGTTTATCTGAGCGCCTGTGTAGAACGCTGTTGTGACTTTCCCCACCCCCTTCTCTTACCCTGTCAGCTTTACCCCACCTTGGTCACGTGAACCAAGAGAACCAAGAGAACAATAAACTCCATCTCTGCCAGTCTAATCACTGGGTTGCTGGGTGGCCTATGACCTGCCAAGAACTTGGCAAAATGGCGAGTTCCCGAGTATGAGTAAAAGAGTTTACTCAGGAATGTGTGTATGTGTGTGTGGATGTATGTGTGTGTATAAAAATAACCCGTGGATCTGTCATTTTTCTTTGTTTTAATAAAATAGAACAATAAGAATGCCATTTAGCTTCCTGGTCTTATGGATTCTAGATAACGGAGAGCCGTGCTCAAGTGTACAGCCTGCCATCTCCCCTCATAAAATCTCCCTTTACTCTTTCTGAGCCACTTTTTTTTTAACATCTTTATTGGAGTATAATTGCTTTACAATCGTGTGTTAGTTTCTGCCGTATAACAAAGTGAATCAGCTATACATATACGTATATCCCCATATCTCTTCTCTCTTGCGTCTCCCTCCCTCCCACCCTCCCTATCCCTCTAGGTGGTCACAGAGCGCCGAGCTGATCTCCCTGTGCTATGCGGCTGCTTCCCACTAGCTATCTGTTTTACATTTGGTAATGTATATATGTCCATGCCACTCTCTCACTTTGTCCCAGCATATCCTTCCCCCTCCCCGTGTCCTCAGGTCCATTCTCTACATCTGCGTCTTTATTCCTGTCCTGCCCCTAGGTTCTTCAGACCATTTTTTTTTTTTTTAGATTCCATATATATGTGTTAGCATACGGTATTCGTTTTTCTCTTTCTGACTTCTCTCTATATGACAGTCTCTAGGTCCATCCACCTCACTACAAATAGCTCAATTTCGTTTCTTTTTATGGCCGAGTAATATTCCATTGTATCTGTGTGCCACATCTTGTTTATCCATTCATCTGTCGTTGGACACTTAGGTTGCTTCCATGTCCTGGCTATTGTAAATAGAGCTGCTGAGCCACTTTTTTTTGCTACCTATAGCTGTCATTTGAGGCAGCATTTTAAATATATTAGTTTCCTAATTAGAAAAATGACATGTGTTAAGAAAATCTGGAAAACAGAGCACAAGGAATCATTGGTATTCTGGTATGGGTCTCTCCACTATGTTTTTTTATGTGTGTTCGTGTATATACACACCACTATCTACAGAAAGGTATATTGAGAAAACTAAGCTTTCTTTCCATTAAATGCTCTTTTACAGTATCATTTTCAGTAACTATTATTTCATCGTGTGTTTATGCCAGAATTCACATAACCAGTGTCTCGTCCATGACGTGTTTTTTTTTTTTTAATTGAAGTGTAGTTGATTTTCAATATTGTGTTAGTTTCAGCTATATAGTAAAGTAATTTGGTTATACATATATATATGTATATATTAGTTTTTGGATTCTTTTCCGTTATAGATTATTACGAGTTATTGAATATAGTTCCCTGTGCTGTACAGTAAATCCTTGTTGTTTATCTATTTTATATATGGTAGTGTGTATCTCAAACAGGTATTTTTTGATTGTAGATAGTACTGGAGAGAACATCCTAATACTTATAACTTTGTACACAGCCCTAAGAATTTTCTTAGGGTATGTTCATCCAGGTGGAGTTGCAGGGTCAGAAAGTATGTGCACTTTTAAAACTTATATATATGTATTGCCAAATTGCCATCCTTGAAGATTGAACTTATTATATATACAAGCAGAATGCCTGTTTCTCTACACCTCCGGATGAGGCAGTAGTTTCTTTTTTTTTTCCCTAGGACCTCCAGCATTGATAGAAGCAGTGATAATGGGCATTCATATCTCATTCCTGACTTTTAAGAAAACCATTAAGTAAGATGTTTCCTGAGATTCCTGGTAGGTATCTTTTATCAGGTTAAGGAAAGTACCTTTTATTCTTTGCTCACTAAGAGATTTTTTAAAAATTAACAAATATTTAACTTTATCAAATGATCCCTAGTTGCATCCTTTGAGAAGGAAGTGGTGCTTGAGATTTGGTATCTTTGAACTTGAGAAAATAGCCATTACCGGGTTTCATCGAAGCATATTAAGATATTTTAGAGTTGCAAGTGATAGCAGTGAAAGTTTTATATGCAAATTTTCATTGCACTGTT